TAAAAAGATATTTTAAAAATTCAAAACTTTTTTTCAACAAATCAAATGATGCCACGGTCAACCAATGGATATGTTTTGGACTCAAGTTATACTCAATCCATTGATCAGCTCAAGCCTAGCCCAGGATTTACCAAATTTAGCCTGTGAGACTTTCCTGTAGTTTCAAGTAGAATAAAAATATAAAAAATGAAATCAAGAATTAAACATGACTGGCCATCAGTAGAGTTTAGGTATGTTTAAATATTATGGACTGTAACACAATTTCCTATCATTATTCTTTTGAACACATCATACAGGAATGAAATGTACAAACCTTTAAAAATTGCATTTGCATCTTCGAACAGCATTTTACAGAATATTTTATATTTTTCACTTTCGCTGTTTGTACTGCACAAAATGAAATAATGCTGACAAGCTTCATGCCATGCTTCAAATTCATCGAATATTTCTAAATTTTCCAAAAATTTCCTTTTTTCAGCAGGAACACAAGAGTAGTAAAATCGATTCAAACTTGTAGCATTACAGTAAGCTAAACCGAGGTTACAATGACGTTCCACTTGGCTCGCAATCGTCGGGTATTCATCAATGGTTAGCAATGGACTTCCAATCTGTTTAAAATGTCTGTTAAAATTTGATCAAACCTATTTTGTACAACAAAGCAAACAGGGGTGAAAGTATTAAAATATGGCAAAAGAATTCAGAATTGGGGTAGAAAATTCTATTAAATGACCATTGCATTGCTAGATTAGTTTCAGCTCAAGTAATAATAAAAAATTATGAAAACTTTCCTCCATTGGGAAGCATTGTCTGCAAGGAAATAAATAAGAAACAAGACAAATTAAATACCCAGTTTCAATATTGGCTCCGATCTTGAATAATAACTTTATTTATCAAATAAAATTTATCAAAAATAAACAAATTTAAAATATTTTTAACATAAGTACCACACAGAGTGACAAGGTATGAATTGTATAAATAATTCTCTCATACTTGCACATGACTTTTCCGAAACTATTCCAAGGATTAACTTGCTCAAATACCACAACTACAGCATTGTAAAAGTTTTTTGCAATCCATTGTAAAACCAATGATGAGTTTTTGGCTGGTAAATACTGTTAATGAAAAACAATAAATCAATACACTTATCTACACTTTAGATTAACATTTTGATTATCTAACAATTCAAGATTTTCAAATCAATTATAAATGAAATTGTTTAAATATGGGTACCTGTGAAAATGTTGTACAAAATATAAAATACTGGTTAATTTGTCAAACATTTAGAACAAGGGTGTGCAATTTTTAATACAAGAGGGCCAGATACAAATAACTGGGTGAAACCGTGGGCCGCACCTTTAAATAACATAGGCTTTTAATTATGGTTATTGATCTTAATGACATGCGCTGTTCGATTCGGACACGCTAGATGTTAGGGCATTGTAACGCCATAGGCATAGATAATAAATTGGTATAGATAGATAATAAATTGGACTCTGGTATTGGCTTTGCAACGCAATGAAATTGGAATTGCTCGCATGTACCAGATTAAAAACTTGTTTTGTGGGCCGCATACCATTCAAAATTGGCACTTCTCCGAGCGCCACACGATTTTTCCTTGTGGGCCGCATTTGGCCCGCAGGTCGCACACCCCTGATTTAGAGGATTAAAACTAATTTTGCATTTTGACTTCGTTTATATCGTAGAACACTGGAATAAGACTCACTGTCAACACAACTTCAGAGAGAAACAATGTTGGTTTCTTGAAATCAACATTAACCGACTCAAGCAATGCATGTAGTCGCTTCCCAACTAACTGCAAATCATATCCCAAACATATGTATTCTTCAGATCTGAAAATATAGGGTATAGAGTAGACACAAAAGACAATATCACATTCTGAAGTAAAAATATAAAATTAATAAAAAATTAAATGTATCCATTGATTATGTTTAGGTCTACATACATACATCTGTGAATTATTTGATATCAGTTCAATAACCGCAATGAAGGTTTCTGGAGAATTGAAATTCAATGATATTTTATACTTGAAAAATAAATACAAAATGGAAAACAGCTTCTAAAAAATCATAGTTAAAAAGTTCATACTTCAAAACAACAGAGCCAAATTGTTTGAAAATGTCATCACATCAGTAAATATATTTGGTGGTAGCTTACTTATAGATTAGAAATCCAAGCTCTCTTTCAGTTCTGTGTTCTAATTCATCATCTTCCAGAATCAGATTTGCTCTCTTTGCTAGTGCTACCTTCCGTTTCATGACCGCTGGATAATCAATTTCAATATATTGAATATTTTTCATATAACCCTTCTGCTTTAAACGAAAATAGGTTGTATCGAATCCTGCACCAAGTGAAATGATTTGCTTCATGTCTTTGTCACCTGGAAGAAAGATATAATTTATTATGTTAAACTAAAACTAAATATTTAGGCCTATACCAGATAGAATCAGAATTGCAATAATTTAGCAAAATATTAAAAACATTCAAAAAATAGTTGGCTTCGATGAATCACAAAATTTCAGATTTATTTAAAATTTGACGATTGCCAGAAGTCTTTCAAACCATTCAAGACATTTCTTTTTGCAATACATCTTTCTCTGAGAACATACATAGAATTAGGCATCTTATACTTTAAAATATGGCCCAAAATAAAAAATGTTCTTTTGATTTTCTCCTTCGAAATTGTTATTTGGTTTCATTATATGTAACCCTGGTCACCTGGAACAGGGATGGCCAAAACCAAATACCGGTATTCCAATATTTGGAATACATTCTGACAAAAAAATTACTCAATATATGATTTATCAAATACACTCTAAATGGGGGACAAGTTGTGGAAAATTGCATAAATGACTATTTTTTGATCTGCTTGTCTGACAGCTCAATTTTCAAATAAATTATTCCTAAATTTAAATTTTTTTATATCCATATAACGAATTTTGAATGTATTCGAATATTCGATTCATTCGACTTAGAATGTTTTTGTTAACTCACTTGTAACAAATTTTTCGACACAGTATGATACGGCTGCTGCTCTTGCATGATAACATCTATTTATAAGAGGAGATCTACGTGACGGTTTCTCAACAAAAGATTTGATAAAATCATCTTCAAAATATCCCCTCTGTACCATAGAAAGCTTACTAACTATGCTGCTGTCATTGGTACCTTGCACCTGAAATTTGTATGACAATCTATTAAAATATATAGGCTAGATCAGGGGTGGGCAACCTGCAGCCCTCAAGGAAAAATTGTGTGACCCGGGGAGAAATGCCAATTTTGAATGATGTGCGGCCTACGAAACGTGTTTTTAATTTAGTAATTCCAATCCCTTTGCATTTCGAAGCCTATACCTGGGTCCAATTTATTATCAATCAAGCTTGTGAGAAGCGAATAATTCATGTCTCAGAATCAAAAACCAAAATTTGTGCTTGCAACTAATAGAAAACTTATGTTAAATAATGGTGCGGCCCGCGGTTTCATCCAGTCATTTCTATCGGGCCCTTCTGTATCAAAGGTTGCACACTCCTGGTCTAGATAATATGTAAAAACCATACAATTTTATAACAATTCATTTCAGTATTCTGAGGCTAACTATAAATTCAGCCTGTTAATAGAATGTTATGGTTAGTTAGTAGTAGTGCATGGTTAGAAAAAATTGGTAAATTATAATAAAAAACTATTATTCAAAAAACAAATAGCCTATAATGAAATCAAACTTTTATTAAAATCTATTATCAGCATATCAGTATCAAAATAGCACAAAAATGAAAGATATACCAAAAAAATGAAAGATATAAGAAAAAAATAATACCTGTTCAGAATTCATCATTACACAACAAAACTATGTCAGTTATAACAAGCGGAGTGCTGATAACTAACTGTAGTAAAAAAGAAGCATATGGCAGATGATTCTCATGAAAGTATTAAGCATTTCATAATAAACAATCTCCTTGGAATCTTGAAAATAAAATTTAAAAATAAATATCAGTAATTGAAATATTTGTTAGATCAACACATACCACTGTAAAATTATTCTGATTTACCAAAAAAAAATATTGTAAATGCAACCGTTCTCCCCCAGGTTGCTAATAGCGGGACACTATTATTATAAGCAATCTCATCCTTACATAAACAAATTAGATAGTAATTTAGAACTTGGAATAAATAATTTAGATTATTCATATGTTATAAAATATTAAGATGGTTTCAGTGAAATATTTAAAACGCAATTATGATATTATGGGGTCAATTTTGACTTATCCCCTAAATTCAAAAAACAAGAAAGAAAAGCCAATTCACAGTGGTGGTTGTTAAGTGTCTAGTTGAAAAATGATACTTAAGGTGGGTCAATGACTCAAGTTAGCTCAGCTTAACTGTAGTCATAATTTACTTACAGCACACATGAAATTGACAGTATACAAAAATAAGAAGGTGAAAGTTTACTTTTGAAATTTGCCAAGGGGTAAATGAGAGTATAATGGGGGAGAACCCCTGTTTTCATGTGACTTCCAATGTTAATAGTGCCACTGAGCCTCGTATTTATCCTTTTCATTTTTGTTTTATGAAACATATTATGACTCAGCAACAATTAAAATTTGCGAACATTCTGACTTGACCTTTGGTTCAGAGACAAACAAAGGCTTCAAAATTACGTAATTTAAGACACATCACATTGATGGACACTCACAAAAGAGATAGATACTGTTAAAAACATTGTGAAACAATTTTTTTATATCGCAACTTCCATAAATTTCATATTCACCGCTTTTCAAAACTATTTTAATAGCATTCAATATCATGCAAAGATCATAGATTGTGTGATTTACACAATACTCCATAAAAACATGATTTTTGTTATTATCAAGCTGACAGTATGTAGCATGAAAACTTGTATCATCTTCATTTTCTAATTTTATTCTATCTAAAAAAGTCTTGAGAACACTGTATATTCGCATATTGTCTTGGTATTCTGTATTTGAACATTCACAGGCGAATCTTAGTTTCGGATGTTTTTGCATATGATTTTGCAGTGATATTATACGTGGATTAGATATTTTTGTTAGGAATTGAACAAAATCATTTAAATCTGTTCCACTATTTGCTTTCATTATTATTAGGCATTGGTTTAGCCATTCTTTTCAGTCATTAATTCTTTGCAATCAATAATTTCTTTTTTAACCAATTCAAACTCTGAGCATAAAAAATTACAAACGATATCAATATTACTGGCATTCAACCAGTTATGGTTAATAGAAATTGTATCGTCAAGATTATGAACCTGGTGATACCATCCAGAAGGAACAAATATCAACTCTCCAGGTTTTTGTACTATTGTCAGACAATGAGCTTTCTGTGCATTGGGGTAAATATTCATGTCCTGCATTTCAGGAGCAGTTACATCAAATGGAAGTTCGCCATTTACATTTTTTAGATATTGTTCATCACCTGGAGGAAATAATAACCATTTTTTAATACCACAAATATTTGCAGACCAACTAAATGAACGATAGACATCTGCATGAAAAGGTGTCCAAGAGCCCTTAGGGCCCATGTACACAAAGCGGAAATCATCACTTTCAATTTCATCATCACTCAGTTCATTTAACCAGTCACTGTGGAAATATTCTGCCACATTATATAGTTTGTAATTTTTGAATGATTTCACGAAATGCCAGTCTTTCAAATACAAACAAGGGTGTTTCTCCTTGTAGCCTTGTGTAATATAATTTTCCCAATAGGTAATAAACTCTGAAAAAGTAGTTTCCGTTTTGCATTGGCTGTTAAAATACTTTTTGTTGCAATCTGCAACTGGGACTTTGGCATTTCCAAAATGTTGTTTCAAATATTCAAAATTAGGCAAAACCTCTGTATAATTGTTCACAGTCTTTCTACTAGTCCATTCAACGGCACTTTTCCAATCTCTTGTGACAAAATTTCCAAAAAGACAAGGCCTGTTGCTCACAAGGTATTTACAGAAAAAGTCATCATATGATATTTGGCTGTCTACTTTATCTATGTGATAAGTTTCTGAATTATCGTCAGAATGTTTTTCAGTCGTTTTTTGCAGTATTTCACATAAATTTTTCTGTGATATATGCATCAAACCAAGCTACTTAGTAATCCAAAATATTGAGATACCGGTAGTGTATTGATAACAGGAACACATTCAGGTACCAGATTCCATGTGGTTGTGATACTATCAAGTGTTTAAATCTATCTTCTGAAATAAAAATAGCCTTTGAAGTAGTTTATAAATTGCTATATTATCTGATTTTTGATTTCACATACCTGAATTCATAATCAGGTAATCAAGCTGTCAACTTTAATGGCTTTAGTATGATTGACAACATGATTTGATCTCAACCTAACCCCTAAAAACATTAAGGCAGGAAACAATACAGCAATAATAAACAAATAAATTCATTTGGGTTATACTGCTATTGGTGCCCTGTGCTGCTCTCCACTTTATTTGCCAAATTGAATTCCAGTGCCAATATCTGAAAATGGAATTTGTTACTTTTGTCCATATAAAGTGAATTCAAGAATTAAAATTATTTGTATGTCAATTCCAATTTCCTGGTTTAAATTCTGGATAAGTGAAGAAAAATTAATATACATTACCGGTATGGTACCCATATTAAATTATATCGTATTTCATATTTTCAATATCAACAATCTGACAATCCATTGCTGCATTGACCATTGTATTTCCATTTGATTGTTGTCCCGAATGTTATCATGGTGAAGATGATTAAATATTTTATATGAGCGTGGAAAAACAAAATTTAGGCTACAAAGATTAGACAGCAAACCTGAAGACCTACCATGCCAATAAAATATTTCAGTGCCTGTGGTTTCAATACAGCAATATAAAAATGCTGCACATCTGCACACGCCAATGCCCAACAGCACAAGCGAAACACGCGTCGCCCACAGAGTCGCCGCGCCCCTGTTACACCTTTTGCTTTGGCAGTGCGTAGAGTTCCATTATTTTTGCACCTGAGTTCTTTTTCTGAATATCTACACCTGCATACTTTTGGACTTGCAGGCACTTCGCCCCGCGATACCAATTACTTGTTTTGTTGAATGAATCATAATCAATGAAATAAAAGTGTTTCGTTAAGGAAAGGATTTAGTATAAGTGTAAGTTTATTTCGATTCCATAATCAATGAGAATACTGTATATACGAAATAGACCTCGACTGCCCAACCTTTTTAGTGCGGCGAGCCATTTCACATGAAGAAATTTGAACGGGCTGCGAACGTTTTCAACAAACTGAAATAACAGCTGACTTACGTGAGAATTTACATATTACCCAGCAGCTTTACAACATTTTAATTACATAAACTCAATGATTACTGGTTACTGAGAAGGACTGGGAGAAATATTCGAATATGCAGCGGCTCACTATTCGAAATACCTGCTGTAACACGTGACCTGGACATGACACGTTGGTTGCGCGTCGCTGAACCAAACGCTTGCATTGCACAACGCACTTTCTGATTTCAGACGAGCACAAGAGAATCTAGACAAGTGCTTCCCAACCGTTGGGAAATTTCGGAGTTGCTGGTGGGAAATAAAATGCCACTCTAAAAATATACGCACAATAACACAATTATTATATATTTCACAATGAAACTCACAATATAAGCCATGAAGCGGGGAAAGATTGCCATTCAATTAAACGAAAATTTGGTAAAATATCACGGTGTTGGGCATGATATTCGATCGATTTTCGTTGTTTATTATACGGCAAAGTATGATGTCAGTATAACGCAGCTTAACGCTAGACAGTTCAAAACACAAGAATGAATAACAAGCACGCAGACAGGTAAAAGCAAGGAGTAATTACGAGAAAACAATTATGACATCATATTCACAAATATAGTCGGTGTTAAAACAACAAGCTATGACGTAAATACACAACACCCTTCTCCCCTTAGGAAGAAATGAACAATGTCACTAAATTAACACATTTACAGTGAACCCTCTCAATTCAATGTTCATTATCAATATCACTATAAATTTAATCTGTCAGGCGGCCTCCTGTTTCTGAGAGAATTACGCCTGGGTATAGGATGTTGCTGTGCTCCTTGATTACCCTGTGGCTGGACAAGATTGTCATCTGTCAATGTGCTTGACCGGTTCCAATTGTACTATTCCGGTTTTTCATATCTTCGACAAAGTTCGTCATTTTCAGCTTTCAGCAGCTGATCGATATGGCGTTTCCAAGTTACACCATTACAAATTTTGACAAGGTATGCCAGTGGTCCAAGATGTTTATTAATTGTGCCACTGACCCATCTTCTCTTTTTGCTAGAATAGTCACGAGCCAAGACTGCTTGACCAAGTTCAAAATATCTTGTTTTACGATTATTTTTTGAATCTTGCACGTTATCTTGTTTTACGATTTCTTTTTGAATCTTGCACGTTAGTTGCACGTGCTTTTCATTAACTTTTGATGCTAGATCAGGCTTGACCAAGTCTAAACGTGATCGTAGAGATCGCTTCATTAATAACATGGCTGGTGACTCGTTCGTTGTCGAATGTGGTGTATTTCTGTACGCTAGTAGGAAATTATCCAGTTTGTGTAAAATATCACCTTTCTCCTTCTTCCCTCGGAGAAGAGAACTCTTGAAAATTCCGACAAATCTTTCGGCCATACCATTACTTGACGGATGAAACGGTGCAGATCGTGAATGACGTATGCCATTATTCTTCATAAAATTTGCAAACTCTTCCGACGTGAAAGTAGGTCCATTGTCAGACACTAGTAGTTCGGAGTTCTTCGATAGTTCTTTGCGATGTGATAGGGATTACTTCTGCTCATTTTGAATACGCGTCAATTACTAAAAACTAAACTAAACTAAAACATCATATCCATGAACGGTCCTGCAAATTCAACATGAATTCGTTCCCACGCATTTGAGGGAAATTCTCACATATGTAGTTCAGCATTTGCAGGCATTTTCGCGTTTCCTGGCAAGGAGCGCATTCTTTTACTCTATTTTCAATTGAGTTAGTAAGTTGTGGCCACCAGACATATGACCGGGCCAATGCTTTCATCCTGACTATGCCTGGATGTGACTCATGTAGTTCTTCTAAAATTCTTGAACGTAATTTAGGTGGAATTACAACTCTGTTTCCCCACAATAAACATCCTTCATGAACACTGAGTTCATGCCTTCTATTGAAATATGGTTGTAATTCATGATTTTTGATTTTGTTTGGCCAACCTTTCAGGACCAAATCTATCACTTTATAGAGTCTTAGACAATATTGGCTCATTAGTGGTTGCTTTTCTGATTTCCGTACTTGTGGCGGACAATACTTTAAAAATGCAACGTAAAGAATATTCTTCATCATCTGTATGTGAACTTTCAGACAATGCAAATTTTGATAAAAAATCTGCGTTACCATGATTTTCAGTTTTACGATATTCGATATCATATTGGTGTGATGCTAGAAACATTGCGTAGCGCTGTAAACGAGCAGCTGTCATTTTTGGAATTGATTTATCCGGGTGGAAAATGGATGTTAGTGGTTGATGGTCTGTAACCAGTGTAAACCGTCTACCATATAAATATAGGTAAAACTTTTTCACACCTCATACTATGGACAGAGCTTTTTCAATTTGTGAATAGTTCATTTCTGCTTTTGTTAATTTTCGTGACGCAAAAGCAATGGGTCTCTCTGATCCATCTTTCATCACATTAGATAATACGCAACCAATACCATATTGACTAGCATCACAACTCAATTTCACAGGTTTCTTAGAGTCTTAATGCACTAATACTTGATCAGATGCAATCAATTGTTTCGCAGTTAGAAAACTTTGTTCACATGCCTTGGACCATATGAACTTTTGACCCTTTTTCAATAGACAATAAATTGGCTGTAGCACACTTGCTAGCTCTTTGCAAAATTTAGCATAAAATTAATCATACCAATGAATGCCCGGACTTGAGATACATTTTCAGGACGTGGTGCATCCACAATTGCGTTGACAAGTTTCTCTGTCATATGTTGTCCGTTACAACCAATATCATGGCCAAAGAAAGTAATACGATCTTTCATAAATTCGCATTTTGTTAAATTCAGTCTCACCCCATGTTCTTTTAATCTCTTTAAGACGTTTTCCATATTCTTGAGGTGATCCTCATCATTTGATCCAGTGATGATCATGTCATCTAATATACATGCCACTTTAGGCAATCCTTGCAAAATTTGTTCCAGAACCCGTTGCCAGATAGCTGGAGCTGATGCAATTCCATAAACCATTCTATTTACACGATACAGTCCTCTGTGTGTATTCAATGTGAGTAGATGTTTGCAGTTTTCATCGACTTCTAATTGCAAATAAGCATTATTCAAATCCCATTTTGTGAACTTTTGTCCACCAGCTAAGATTTCAAACAGTTCTTCAACTCTTGGGAATGGGTATTGATCAATCTTCAAAGCTGGATGTTACTGCAGCGGTTTGCAGCAGTGTCTTTAATGATTGACAGGCAAGATTGTATGACGTCATAGTTAGAATGTTTCGTTTAGTTAGAATGTTCTGGAAAACATGTCATTTCCTGTATCTGGCCTGTAACACGAGTTAGTGCTGTCCCTGTATAGTTCAGACGTGTATGGCTATATTAATATTATTTTAGTGTCAAATTTTGTTGTTTGAATCTGAATGACATTGCTATTACAACTGGAAGGTACCAAGCAGTTGAAATTAACCAATCAAAATTTAGGTGAGACATCTAAGTTGCCAATATGCCATGGAGAGCCATCTCTATCACAATTAGAGAGTACCAAGTCTTTGAAATTAACCGAACGGAAATTAGATGGGGCTTCCAAGTTGCCAATATGTCACGGAGAGCCATCTTTACCGACATCAGCTAGTTATGTTTATTCTGTTTCTGGTTCAACAAGACATTTGCAAACACCATCAACCATAATTTGCTCATCACATCCACAATTTGTAAATTCTGTCGTGCAGCACCTTCCAATCGACGGTCAATGTTACACACAAAATGCCATGCAAAGTGTTCCATTTTCATATGGGTATGCACCAATGAGCAATTTACCATCTTCACAAAGCGTGTATTCTACTGTGAGACAAGGTGATAACTTGCTAAGCCAGCTCAATGGTCAAAACATTGTCAACAATCACCCCTTTTCCAGTGGAATTAAGACAACATGTGATAGATCAGCAGATAGAGGAGGAGCTCAATATAGACTTCCAGAAATCAAAATTGAAGTATTCACTGGGGAAATTATTAAATATCCATCATGGGAGACTGCATTCAATGGTTTAGTTGATAACAAAGCGGCATGTGTAGAACAAAAGTTGAATTTGCTCAACCAATATTTAAGCGGTGAGCCGAAAGAACTTGTGCAAGGTTATTTGTTACTTCAGACCGAAGATGCATATGTAATGGCAAAGGAGGAGCTGAAGCGAAGGTATGGGAATTCAAATTTGATAAGTAAATCGTTTGCTACTAAATTGAAAGAATGGCCCAATATAGCACCACATGACCCAATTAGCATAAGAAGGTTTTCTGACTTCCTAAATCAACTTCTGGCTGCAAAAAGGCGGTTTCAGTGTTTGGGTATTCTGGATTACTCCCAAGAAAATACGAATATTGTGGCAAAGTTGCCATATGACGTTATAAACTTGTGGAGAATTGAAGTTAGAAAGTATAAACAAGAAAAGAAAATGCTTATCCATCTTTCGATGTTCTTGTAAGATTTGTGTACGATCAAGCAGAGAATGCCAACATTCCAGAATTGAGTGATCTCAAAAAAGAATCTGGAGCATCATATCACAAAGCCGATATGTCAAACAGAAGATCCAAGGTTGTGGTGCTATCCACTTCAACAAAAGAGGAGTGTAAATCACAATGTAAATTTTGTAATAAGGATCATTTACTCCAAGATTGTGAGAAGTTCATTAGTTTATCAAGGATGGACAAGAAACAATTCATTCTAAGCAACAATCTTTGTTTTGCGTGTGGCTCAGAAAGCGGTCATTTTGCACGAAATTGTAAAGATAAGGCGAAGTGCAAAATATGCCAGAAAACTCATATGACTTGTTTTCATCAAGCAGAAAAACAAAAGACGTCAGAGCAGACCACATCTTTATGCACTACGACCAGTAACAAGATTGACCAATTGCATGACATCGAATGTGACTTATCTATGATACTTCCAGTGTGGATCAGAGATAAAGGTGATCATAGTAAGGAAGTTTTGTCTTATTGCATTCTAGATGAGCAATCTAATACAGGCTTCATCAGTCATCAGGTCCAGGAAGAACTTGGTGTCAAGGGACACGAAACCAGCATAACTCTATCAACAATGTTCAAAAGCAATGTGGCCATTGCAACTAGAAAAGTATCATGTTTGGAAGTGCTCAGCTATGATCGTAAAGTGTGTATAGGATTGCCACCGGTGTACACTCGAGAAGAAATTCCAATTAGACGATCACAAATACCCACACCAGATAAGGCAAGGGCATGGCCTCATTTAGAAAAATTGCTGATCTAATTTCACCATATCATCCAATCGTTCCAGTTGGATTATTGCTTGGGAACAACATTCCTAGTGTACTGAGACCTAGAGAAATAATTGCTGGCCATGATGACCAGCCATATGCTCAAAGGTCAATTCTGGGCTGGGGAATTGTTGGAGCAGTGCGGAGGTCTTCACTCAAACCAGCTGTTTCTCATCTGATTGATACCGATGTAAGCAACCATGATGTAGATATTTATCCTGAAGTAACATGCAGATTTGCTTTATTGACAAAGACAAAAGAAATTATTGAGCCTCACCATCTACAGCGAATGCCGGAGCTAGAATTCACAGAGCGTGAAAATAAATACAGCGAGCTTTCCATTGATGACTCTCGATTTTTGAAAATTTTATCAGAAAATATAGTCAGAACCAATGATGGTCATTTCGAAATGCCTCTGCCTTTAAAGTCTAGGGAAGTTTCATTACCAAATAATAGATCACTAGCATTGCGTAGACTGCTCCAACTTAAAAAGAGACTACTGAAAGACGAAAGATTTAAAAATGACTATGTTGAATTCATGGAAAACACACTTCGAGATTGTGCCGAAAGGGTCCCAGATGAAGAATTGTTGCTGCTCAATGGTAAAGTTAACTACATACCTCACTCTGGAATTTACCATAAAAGGAAAACTGATCAAATCAGAGTTATATTTGATTGCTCTGCGGTCTACGCTGGTGTTTCACTAAATGACTACCTTTTGCAGGGTCCGAATTTAATGTCAAATTTGGTTGGAATTTTATGGAGATTCAGGCAAGATTCTATTGCAGTAGTAAGCGATATTAGGTCCATGTTCCACCAGTTTTATGTAAAAAAAGAAGACAGAAATCTCCTACGGTTCTTATGGTGGGAAGATAGCAACTTCAACAGAAGTATCGTAGAATTTCGAATGAAAAGTCATCCATTTGGAGCAGCCAGCAGTCCAGGTTGTGCAAACTTTGGTTTCAAACGATGTGCTGATGAAGGAGAAGCCGAATACGGAGAAGCGGCAGCTAACTATATTCGACAGGATTTCTATATGGATGATGGGTTGAAGTCTGTGGCTACAGTTGAAGAAGCAGTTCATTTAATTCAACAGAGTCGAGCACTCTGTGCCAGTGCTGGCCTCAAATTGCATAAATTCATATCTAATAACCGTGAAGTGCTTGAATCCATACCAGAAGATGAAAGAGCTAAGGATATTAAAACTCTGGACGTCACAGTTGATCCTCTACCAATTGAAAGGACTTTGGGTATTGTCTGGTGTATTGAATCCGACGATTTTCAGTTCAAAATAGAAATAAAAGATCTTCCGTTTACTAGAAGAAACATCCTCTCTTCGGTGAGCTCTATTTTTGATCCTGTGGGATTTTTAGCACCAGTTGTTTTAAGAGGGAAAAATGATTTTACAAGAACTCTGCAAAGAAAAATATGACTGGGATGACCCAGTGCCTAATTATTTGCGAAGTAAGTGGGAAAAATGGCGCAATGAAATTCTAGAATTGGAGCGACTGAAGATTCCTCGCTGTTATAAATCTGAAGACTTTGGCCGTATCAGCTCTGTTGAACTTCATAGTTTCTCGGATGCCAGTGAAATTGGTTATGGCCAGTGTACTTATTTGAGACTGACTAATGAGCGGGGTGAGATTCATTGCAGTTTTGTTATGGGAAAGGCTCGGGTAGCCCCGTTGAAGCAAATCACAATACCAAGAATGGAGCTGACTGCAGCTGTGATCTCAGCAAAAATGAGTGACCTAATTGTTCGGGAGCTCGAGTATAAGGACATCAGTGTTTTTCATTGGGTGGATAGTAAGGTAGTTCTCGGCTACATAAATAATGAGGCAAAAAGATTTCATGTGTTCGTAGCTAACCGTGTGCAACAGATACACGATTTGAGTAAATCTGATACATGGTTTTACATCGATTCATCTGCGAATCCTAGTGATGACGCCTCAAGAGGCATAAGTGCAAGAGAACTTCTTTATGATTCTCGCTGGCTAAGAGGACCAGAATTTCTTTGGCAACGAGATCAGAGTTGGAAAAGCTCATTATATAAAGCTGATGAGGAAACTGAAAATTGTTGGATAGAGGAAATGAGAAAGGCCACCTGTTTTGTCACCAATTGTAATAATGGATTTGTCACCTATCTTGAACCAGAGAGACTGGAGAGATTTTCTTCGTGGAATTCAGCTATTCGTGCCGTTGCCAACTGCATTCGGTATGTTCGATTGATAAAATCTAGAGTACAAAATGAGTATGTAATGGAGAAGTTAAATGTAGAACACATGATGCAGGCTGAAAGGCAGGTTGTGAAAGGTTTGCAATCTAAGTATTTTGAACGAGAGATCCAGTATCTGAAAAGCGAAGTTGTAAACCAAGATGACGCGGTTGTCAATGCCCATGTCAAACAAAGCAATCTGAACAAGATTAGCTCTTTGTTTCGCTTAGACCCGATACTGGATTCGTGTGGAATATTGAGAATTGGGGGACGGATTAGACTTTGCTCGACTATTTGTGCAGAGATGAAGCATCCTATTATTTTTCCGAGGAAAAGCCACTTAACCACCTTGCTTATTGATCATCATCACATCCAGGCTTGTCACTCAGGGCGAGGCTTTACTCATAACATGCTGCGTCAGCGAGGTTATTGGATATGCGGTGGATCTTCTGCTGTGTCGTATCATATTATGAATTGTTTCCAATGCAAACGTCTTAGAGGAAGAACTCATTTGCAAAAAATGTCAGACTTGCCTGAGGACAGACTTGAGGAGGCTCCGCCTTTTACCTTTTGTGGTTTAGATATTTTTGGATGTTTTTACATCAAAGAAAAAAGATCAGAAATCAAGCGGTACTGTGTTTTATTTACTTGCTTGTCATCCAGAGCAATACATATAGAAACGGTAAATTCACTTGAAACTTCTGCTTTCATCAATGCTTTGCGTCGATTTCTATGCCGAAGAGGGCCAACGAGAATGATCAGATCTGACTGTGGAACTAATATAATTGGATGCAGAAATGATCTGAATAAAGCATTGCAAGAAATGGATCAGGAGACGATAAAGAATTATTTACTTTCTGAACATTGCGACTGGATAGAATTTAAATTCAATAGTCCAAGTTCGAGTCACATGGGAGGAGTATGGGAAAGGCAGATACGAACTGTGCGGTCTGTGCTGGAACCTCTTCTATGGAAATGCGGATCTCAATTAGATGACGAAGGGCTTAGAACATTTTGTTGCGAAGCTGAAAATGTGGTCAACTCCCGAGCACTAACAACAGATCCTCTCTGTGATCCAAGTATGCCTGCCCCATTGACTCCTAATCATTTACTAACAATGAAGGCTAAACTGTTGCTTCCGCCACCAGGGAAGTTTCAAGATGCTGATTTATATGCTCGTAAAAGGTGGCGAAGGGTGCAGTTTCTGGCTAATGAATTTTGGAAACGATGGAGGAATGAATATGTACATACCCTACAACACCGTCAAAAGTGGACAAATAAGCAGAGAAATTTCAAGACTGGTGATGTAGTCCTAATTTCAGATGAAAGCTCACCAAGAAACCTTTGGAAGCTTGGTCGAGTATCTGAGACAACTGCTGGAAGTGATGGCCTTGTTCGGAGGGTAAAATTGAATGTGGCAAACAGGAACTTGAATTCTGCTGGTAAACGAGTATCTACACCGACAGTGCTAGAGCGCCCCATTCACAAGCTGGTTCTTCTCGTACCATATGACAAAGATAAAGATTCTCGTGAGACGAAGAAAATGGAATAGTTTTTGTGAATAATCGGCGAACTAGTAATTAATCCCATATGTAATTATTGAGAGTTGGTTCCGCAAGTGTAATTTTCTTTAGATTTTGTAAGGAATCTATGTGTAAATAGTGCTGTTTCTTTCTTAATGTTATTCTGTTCAATTTTATGTGTTCATTGAGTTAGGTTTAGAGTCGATTTGTATAATTGCAAAACATAGTAGGTAGTTATTGTTTTGCAGGAGAGCCATGTTACTGCAGCGGTTTGCAGCAGTGTCTTTAATGATTGACAGGCGAGATTGTATGACGTCATAGTTAGAATGTTTCGTTTAGTTAGAATGTTCTGAACATGTCATTTCCTGTATCTGGCCTGTAACACGAGTTAGTGCTGTCCCTGTATAGTTCAGACGTGTATGGCTATATTAATATTATTCTAGTGTCAAATTTTGTTGTTTGAATCTGCATGTATAAATATGAGCTTAGGATATGTACCGGTACTGGTATTGAGTTCAGTTGCATATTGTTTTGACGAAAAGGTAATTAATTGTTATGTTCTTGTTTACACAGTTTGTTATAATAATCTGCCAGAGAAGCACCGAATTCAATGTCAGTTACCGCAGTTTCAACATTATAATTATCAATTAGCATTTAACCGGAACACAATATTTCATGTTTGATGACATTACTGCATTATTTCTGGACTTTGTCCTGTGGAAGCTGGATTTTCATGCTATTAAAATATTGAAACACGAGTCAAGCTGCATTGAATTGTTATTAGATTCGTCTGCTAGCATTCCATCAACAGACTAAGGAAGGGATCGAATGCCTGCAGCCACAGTCAGAGATGCAAACAACGCAAAACAACAAAGCGACAGGCCCAGATGGGATACAAGCAGAAGTATGGAAGCTAGACTGTCTGAAAGACAAGCCAATTGAAGTCTGTAATAAAGCATACAATGGTGATGTACCAACTATATGGAGAAAGAGTGCAATTCTGCCAGTCCCAAAGAAACGAGACCTAGGAAAAACAACAAACTACAGAGGAATACCTCTATCAGCAGTCTCTGCAAAGATCTACAACAGAATGTTGCTGAACATGATATACCCGCAAGTAGATAGTAAGTTGACAATAAATCAAAACGGATTTAGACAGAACAGATAAACAGTGGCCCAAATTCTCACACTACGAAGACTTATAGAAGAGATAAAGAATAAGAATCTTCCAGCAATACTCACGTTTGTCGAGTTTAGCAAAGCCTTTGACTCTGTACATCGAGGAAAGCTAATGCAGATACTGGCGGCGTACGGGATCCCTCCCAAAATAGTAACCGCTATTAACATGCTATACATGCACACTACTGCTCAAGTCATATCTTCGGACGGAAACACTGAGTTTTTTGAAATACTAGCTGGAGTACTACAAGGAGACACCTTGGCGCCATATCTCTTTATAATCGCTTTAGACTATGTCATGAGGCAAACAACTGAAGAGAAACAAAACCTGGGATTCATCCTCGATAGGGCTAGGAGCAGACGACACCCAGCAAAAGTAATTTGCGATGCTGATTTTGCGGATGACTTGGCATTAATGACAAACAACCTAAACCAAGCGCAAATACTACTAACGGGACTGGGACAAGCAGCAAGGCAAATAGGACAACACATCAACGGCTCCAAAACGGAATACATGCTTTTCAATCAGGACAATGGAGAATTAAACACGATAGGCGGAGATGTGCTGAACCAAGTAGAGGACTTTCGATACTTGGGAGGATGGGTAAATACCTGCTCAAAGGATATAAGTACCAGAATTGGAATGGCCTGGTCAGCACTATCCAAACTAGAAAAAAATGTTGGAAATCGGGATTAAGGGAAGAACTAAAGATAAAGTTTTTCAGAGCTGCAGTTGAAACTGTTCTTTTATATGGATGAGAAACGTGGACTCTCACAAAGGCAACAAGCAACAAGCTGGACGGCGCATACACAAAAATGCTTAGAGTAAAAAGAAGTTTGTTATAGCAAATGTTCGACTGCGGTCGTATTGATGATGATAATTTATTATAATTAGACATATGGCAACAGAACGTAAAAAAGTTGATGCTGAGTGCAAATTGTTTAATGACGCAGAAAATATTTAAATGATCAGTCTTCACGCACTGCTTGAAATTTAACTGAAATCTGTGAGAAAAAAATGTGATTCATTGGTCATTCGGACCTCCAGAAGTATGCGCACCAAGATGGCGCACAACCTGAACATAGTAGCCTATGTGTGTACAGGTTAGGATTCAGGTTGTGCGACATCTTAGTGCGCATACTTCTGGAGCATTGGCCATTCCTTTGGTTTTTAACTTTCTAAAAATATGTGCGGCCCGCATATGACTTGCAATCCTTAATTATGGCCCGCCAACGACAAAAGGTTACCGATCCCTGCCGTAGGGCCTCCCCCTAAATATTGAATGAATCACCAAAGGATTTTCAGTTTTAAAGATGCAATTTTGCAGGTCGCGGGGCTGAGAATCAATCGGTGCTCCACTTATTGGAAAGCAGCGAAGAAAAGAAATACAGAGAGTCCTCGGGTTACGACGGTCGCGACTTACGCTGTTTCGAGGTTACGAACGCGCACTCCATAATGCTGTTTTGAGGTTACGAACGCACTCCATGAAAAATATAAAAGAAAATACTGTACTGTACAGTATTTGCTTTTATTCATGTGATATGTAGTTGTTTTCTGTTTTTCTAATAAAGTACTTTTTTTCATTATTTGTACATTTTATTACAGTACCATACTTTACAATACATTACAATATGTATAGAGTAATATATGAACTGTACAGTGTATTGTTCCGACTTACACTGAAATTCGGGTTACACCGCGTCTCGAGAATGGAACAATGTCGTACGTCGAGGACTCCCTGTATGTAGCAATGTCCACGTGATAGAACCTAAATTGTCTTTTACCCCACCTAAAAACCACTCCCAAAGCCTTAAAAAACATCAATACCACTATTATTATAACTCAATATTCAGTGTTTAATCACATTAGTAAATAAAATAATAATTTGTATTTCCATGGATTATTGAGAAAAAAACTTGGGTACTCCAGAAATATGTGTACCAAGATGACGGACATCGCAACATAGTATGTGTGCCAGGTTAGGCCATAATTTTAGGTACAAATACTACAAAACTCACTTGGTTAGTCCCTGAACTCGTAATAGAGCTAAAATAAGTTGGACATCTAGTAGTAGTATATATTTACGGTTTGATTCTGTATATTCTTGCTACACGAAACTCGGTGATTTTTTAGGGTACCGGTAGCGTCAAAGGTAAGGACTGCTTCGCTCTGGTTAACGTGTCAATATATTTGAGCATTGCTCTCTTGTTTATTTGTTGTTCATATAAAAGTAATATCATGAAAAGTGATTCGACATATTATTATTCAACCACATTGTGATAAAGAAAATTCAGGACTGGATACTTTTTTTAAATAATTTCACACTTTGTTGGGCTAGTTGTCTAGCTACGCCGATTACCACTAATGCATTGATTATTGAAATGAAAAGATTATAGACTATATTAATATTGGTGCCAGGGCATTTGGGCAATGGTTACCGGGCTAGCAGTCCAAGCATCTGAAACAAATAACTGGTTAACTAATTGCATACCCGACATGAACTGGTAACCGGACGAGAGGCTGTGCGTCGTCATATGATTCATCCGTCTTATCGCCTTCCCTCTCCTCGGGATAAAAATTGTAAATCTGACAGGACAAACGTCCATTGGTTTCACAGGTGGTAATGTAGCAATACTCAAACCCAAGCGTTTTTATCGAAACACTGAAAAATTTTACTAATTTTATCGTTTTGCCATTTTATTCGATATATCTATCATGTTGACATCACTTTTCCCTATACCATTCCCAGGTTATATCGTGATTAGCTGAAGCCACAATCCTTCACACCCACATATAACATTGATATTATTTGTTGTTCTCAACTTTTGTGAAAATATTACTGGTTCACGTTTTCCATAAGTCATCTTCAAATTTGAATCTTATTCATACTATACATGCAAATATGACGGGAATTGACATCAATGACCGTATCGCTCCCTCCTGCCCATATCAATCAATTTCATTGCTGTTCCTTTTAACTGCATTGTTGACTGTATTTTGGGGTTCACAAAATAATAAACGAGAATATCGGTTGGAAACCGAAGACTTATCGATCGATAGTTAGGGGATCCCCCAAAACAGAAACTGCAGTTTCGATTCATCCGCTCTTGTAACTTGCGCACTGCGCATCGCACACACACACTCGGCGGGTCTCAAAATTCTCTCGCTTTACAAAAATCTAGATCACTATATCAATAATTGATTGATAACTCGCTAATTATACCACATAATTCGCCCAAAATCAATAGGTTTCTGGTCCGAGATAAGATGAATGCACATGCAAAATTTGGAGCAGATTCAACCTCGCATTCGCGAGATATCGGGGTCATCTAACAGACAGACAGACAGACAGACATACAGACATACATACAGACAAATACCTATCAATATACTTACCGATCTTAAGATCGATAAGTAATAACTCTCTCTCTCTCTCTCAAAGTACAGGATGAAATGTTCTGGGGTCAAGGGTCGGGGAAAATCCATCAGACAGGTGACCAATTGACCAGTGACCAAAGCGTGTATATAATACATTTATAGTACATTGAATTGTCTTTAAATACAAGTATGACGGTTTCGAGTTGCTTCCGAAGTAAGTTGGCCATTCTCATCGTCATAATTGACCATTTGACAATGGTGTTCTTTGTGATGTCACAGATGGACAGTTGTATTTATTGGTCGAAATTACCTCGGGACTCAAATTCGCTTCAATGGCCGTTTCTATTTTCGGGTCAACATTTTCTCGCCTGTCAAGCTCCATAATGCCCGCCTGCTCAGCCCCGAGCTGCGCTAGAAGACCAAATGACATTGTAGGATTGTTGCGGTGGCATTATACTCCGTCAAATCGGCGTATCACTACAAAAGTTTCCAAAAAGATGACCAAAAATGGTTCTACGTTGTGTTTGTGGCCAAATTTATCGCATTAGATAGTTTTTTAAGTGATTCAAGAGTCTTGCTGCACAATACCACAAATATATTTCTGTAACGTTTCGTCTGACCAAGGTCAGACTTCTTCAGACATACATAATTCAACTACAACACGAAAAGCAGTTACATGCATATTTAAACAATCATTGTAGAATTATAGGAGTCACGCATGTTAAATAATCAATAAAATCTGTGAATTTCTTGATTAAATAACAGCGGGCGGCCGGAATAAGTGTCATTGATGAGATCTCTCTCTTTGTTTTATATTTAGCAATTGAAGTCCAAATTACACAATGGTGTTTTATTTCTCAGTATTGTATAATGCAGACCAGAAAAGTTGTCTGTGTGTCAAATGTAATATAGTGATATTTTGTCTGTTATTAGCATATCTGGCCATGCATGATCCAATTCTGAGAAAAAAATATATTAGGTACAAGAATTGATTAAAACAATGAATGAAAATATCTAAACTTCCTTAATATTCATCCCTTGTGGCTCGTGTGTCCCGAAAAGATGAATGTAATGGGATTCCTTGTTCTTTCGATAAATGTGGTCATGAAATAGTTTTTCAATGCCAATGACACTCAAATCTTTAAGCGAATGTCCCGGTTGACTGAAATGGGCGCTAACAACCAGATCTTTGTTTTGGGTTTTTATACTTCTAATATGCTCAGTTATTCGGTATTTTAAATGTCTTCCCGTTTCTCCTATGTATTGTATGCCACACTTTTTGCAGCTTATCAGGTAGATTACATTTTCCGAGTTGCATGTAACTTTTTGACGAATCCTTATTTCTGCTGTCTTCTGTTTGTTTGTTGCAATTTTCCTTTCTTCGGAATATTGGCAGGTACTGCACGATTTTCTGCCACATTTGAAAAAGCCTGGATTCTTTTTAACGAGAGTTTCTGGTTTCAATTTTGCTCTGACTAATTTGTCCCTTAGTGTGGGGCATTTACGATAGGCTAATCTTGGTGGTTTTGGGAAAATTTCTTTTAGTCTATCGTTGTTATCTAAAATGTATTGGTAATCTGAAAATATTTTTCGAAGGTTTGGTTGGGTCGGGTGATAGTTTGTGATGAAGGGAAGCAAAGTTTCTTTTTTGGTTTCAGTTTTTGGGATTAAAAGGAGTTTTCTGTCGAGTTCTTTTGCAGATTGTATTGCATCGTCAACTAAATTTTCTTTGTAGTTTCTCTTCGTGAGGTATGTTTTCATTATTTTTGCATGTTTATCAAAGAGCTCATTTGTTGAACAGGTTCTTCTTATTCTGATGAATAGACTTTTTGGAATATTTTTAGTGACATGTTTAGGGTGGCAGGACGATGGCGAAAGATACTGGTGCGAGTCGGTTTCTTTGCTGAAGATTTCCGTTTCCAATTTGTTGTTAATGATATGAACCTTAACATCCAAAAACGTAATCCAGTTTGTTGAGCATTCGAATGTAAATTTGATTGTTGGATGTAAAGAATTTGCTAAGGTAACAAATTCTGATAGTTTCTCTTTGCCATGTGTCCATATAAGAAAACAATCATCAATAAAGCGGCAATAGTACTGTGGTTTTAAAGGGGTTTTGTCTAATAAATTGGATTCCAGGTTTGCTTGCCATAAAAATGTTTGCATACTTGGGTGCCAATTTTGTTCCCATCGCAGTTCCCTGAATTTGAAGGTAATGTTGTTCGTCAAAAACGAAGTTGTTGTTTGTCAGGACTAAGTTGGCTGCTTTTGCTATCCAGGGGATTTCTTGTTTGTCTTCGCTGAATCTGTTGAGGTATTTTTCCATTGCTTCTAAGCCATCGTTGTGGGGGATGTTTGTGTAGAGGGAGACTACGTCCATACTCACTAGTAAAGATTCCTGTCCTATTGTTTTGATTTTTTGTAAATGATTTAAGAAATCCATGCTGTCTCGAATATATGAGGGTATAACTCTTTTACACATGAGCGGAGTCAGTTTATAATCTACATAGGCCGAAAGTTTTTCTGTTGCTGTGCCATTCGTTGATATTATGGGACGACTAGGGTGATTTTCTTTGTGTATCTTGGGTTGGAGGCGTAGGCGACCTGGTTTGGGGTCTTTTGGAAGGATTGATTTAGCTAATTTATCGTCTATTACTCCAGCTTCCTTCATTTTTGAGCAAAGATTAATAACATCATTTCCAATTTGTCTTGACTTATCTTTCGGCAGAAGTCGGTACACCGATTTGTCATTTAATTGACGCATCCCTTCAGCGACATAGTCAGTCCGGGATAGAATGCAAATACCTCCTCCTTTATCGGCCGGAACTATAATGATATCTCGTGCTGCTCGTCCTTCGAGTTCTTTTAGTGCCATAATTTCATCTTTATTTAAATTAGGGTAAGCATGTTTTTCAGGTGTCTTTTTTGCCTATTTCCCGTTTGATAGTATTGGCGAAATGATCCAGATCCGAGTTTCGGCCCGATGGAGGTGTCCATTTGCTAGCTATTCTTAATGACTTCGGGTACGGATTGTTGGGCTCTGTAACATTATCATCGAATGTTGTATTGGCAAAAAATTCTCTTAATCTGTAATTCCTGATAGTTCTGTCGACATCCGCTTGTAGCTGGAATTTATCAAGTCTTTCTGGAGTGGGACTGAAGCCAAGTCCTTTCTCAAGGACGCTAATTTGTGATTCGGTTAGGGGAATATTTGACAGGTTGTGTATTTTGGATGGCGTGGAGGTCATTTCTTCTTTTTGTCTCCTCTTCTTTTTGCTGAATCTTCTATTTTTTCTTTTTGATTCGGACATATTCGTACATTCTCGGTCTGAATTTTTGAAATTGTTTCCCTCTTGAGCTGACTTTTGCTTTTTCGTTCTGGTTCTGTCAAGTTTTTCTTTCAATTTTTTGTTGGACATGCCGATCATTGAACGAATTGTATTCAAAGTATTTGAGTCTAGTTTATTTTCTAACCGCTTTTCCACTTCTATTCTGTGTGTAGTTACGTCTCTCAGTCTTCTACAGCATTCTTTGAGAGCGTGTCTGGTTAATTGCTTTGAAAATTCTTTGTGTAGATTATGCCATTTTTCTTTGTTCTGCACTGGAACTGGACACGACTTTAAGGAAAGTGTAAGACCCTTTGGAAATGTTTTTGTCGATACAAACTGTTCTAGGCTTAGTTTATGGTGTTGTAATCGGATCTCATTAGACGCAATTTTCTTCAGATTATTAAAGTCCCTTCTGTGATGTATGTAAATGCAGTTCTTGTTGTAGTTGATGAGTCCGGAGTAGGTAGGATCCATTTTCGGATACAGAAGTCTCGCAACAATGCTAACTTGCGCTGATTATTTGGTTTCTGCGAGACTAACTACTTATCCTTCTTCTATGTTTTTGTGCCGGTGGATCCGTATGCGTATAATGCAAGGATGCTGTAGCAAGAGTAAAGATAACAATCCTAAGTGATTCAAGAGTCTTGCTGCACACTACCACAAATATATTTCTGTAACGTTTCGTCTGACCAAGGTCAGACTTCTTCAGACATACATAATTCAACTACAACACGAAAAGCAGTTACATGCATATTTAAACAGTGCAGCAAGACTCTTGAATCACTTAGGAGGTCTCAAGTAGTTAGTCTCGCAGAAACCAAATAATCAGCGCAAGTTAGCATTGTTGCGAGACTTCTGTATCCGAAAATGGATCCTACCTACTCCGGACTCATCAACTACAACAAGAACTGCATTTACATACATCACAGAAGGGACTTTAATAATCTGAAGAAAATTGCGTCTAATGAGATCCGATTACAACACCATAAACTAAGCCTAGAACAGTTTGTATCGACAAAAACATTTCCAAAGGGTCTTACACTTTCCTTAAAGTCGTGTCCAGTTCCAGTGCAGAACAAAGAAAAATGGCATAATCTACACAAAGAATTTTCAAAGCAATTAACCAGACACGCTCTCAAAGAATGCTGTAGAAGACTGAGAGACGTAACTACACACAGAATAGAAGTGGAAAAGCGGTTAGAAAATAAACTAGACTCAAATACTTTGAATACAATTCGTTCAATGATCGGCATGTCCAACAAAAAATTGAAAGAAAAATTTGACAGAACCAGAACGAAAAAGCAAAAGTCAGCTCAAGAGGGAAACAATTTCAAAAATTCAGACCGAGAATGTACGAATATGTCCGAATCAAAAAGAAAAAATAGAAGATTCAGCAAAAAGAAGAGGAGACAAAAAGAAGAAATGACCTCCACGCCATCCAAAATACACAACCTGTCAAATATTCCCCTAACCGAATCACAAATTAGCGTCCTTGAGAAAGGACTTGGCTTCAGTCCCACTCCAGAAAGACTTGATAAATTCCAGCTACAAGCGGATGTCGACAGAACTATCCGGAATTACAGATTAAGAGAATTTTTTGCCAATACAACATTCGATGATAATGTTACAGAGCCCAACAATCCGTACCCGAAGTCATTAAGAATAGCTAGCAAATGGACACCTCCATCGGGCCGAAACTCGGATCTGGATCATTTCGCCAATACTATCAAACGGGAAATAGGCAAAAAAGACACCTGAAAAACATGCTTACCCTAATTTAAATAAAGATGAAATTATGGCACTAAAAGAACTCGAAGGACGAGCAGCACGAGATATCATTATAGTTCCGGCCGATAAAGGAGGAGGTATTTGCATTCTATCCCGGACTGACTATGTCGCTGAAGGGATGCGTCAATTAAATGACAAATCGGTGTACCGACTTCTGCCGAAAGATAAGTCAAGACAAATTGGAAATGATGTTATTAATCTTTGCTCAAAAATGAAGAAAGCTGGAGTAATAGACGATAAATTAGCTAAATCAATCCTTCCAAAAGACCCCAAACCAGGTCGCCTACGCCTCCAACCCAAGATACACAAAGAAAATCACCCTAGTCGTCCCATAATATCAACGAATGGCACAGCAACAGAAAAACTTTCGGCCTATGTAGATTATAAACTGACTCCGCTCATGTGTAAAAGAGTTATACCCTCATATATTCGAGACAGCATGGATTTCTTAAATCATTTACAAAAAATCAAAACAATAGGACAGGAATCTTTACTAGTGAGTATGGACGTAGTCTCCCTCTACACAAACATCCCCCACAACGATGGCATAGAAGCAATGGAAAGATACCTCAACAGATTCAGCGAAGACAAACAAGAAATCCCCTGGATAGCAAAAGCAGCCAACTTAGTCCTGACAAACAACAACTTCGTTTTTGACGAACAACATTACCTTCAAATTCAGGGAACTGCGATGGGAACAAAATTGGCACCCAAGTATGCAAACATTTTTATGGCAAACCTGGAATCCAATTTATTAGACAAAACCCCTTTAAAACCACAGTACTATTGCCGCTTTATTGATGATTGTTTTCTTATATGGACACATGGCAAAGAGAAACTATCAGAATTTGTTACCTTAGCAAATTCTTTACATCCAACAATCAAATTTACATTCGAATGCTCAACAAACTGGATTACGTTTTTGGATGTTAAGGTTCATATCATTAACAACAAATTGGAAACGGAAATCTTCAGCAAAGAAACCGACTCGCACCAGTATCTTTCGCCATCGTCCTGCCACCCTAAACATGTCACTAAAAATATTCCAAAAAGTCTATTCATCAGAATAAGAAGAACCTGTTCAACAAATGAGCTCTTTGATAAACATGCAAAAATAATGAAAACATACCTCACGAAGAGAAACTACAAAGAAAATTTAGTTGACGATGCAATACAATCTGCAAAAGAACTCGACAGAAAACTCCTTTTAATCCCAAAAACTGAAACCAAAAAAGAAACTTTGCTTCCCTTCATCACAAACTATCACCCGACCCAACCAAACCTTCGAAAAATATTTTCAGATTACCAATACATTTTAGATAACAACGATAGACTAAAAGAAATTTTCCCAAAACCACCAAGATTAGCCTATCGTAAATGCCCCACACTAAGGGACAAAATAGTCAGAGCAAAATTGAAACCAGAAACTCCCGTTAAAAAGAATCCAGGCTTTTTCAAATGTGGCAGAAAATCGTGCAGTACCTGCCAATATTCCGAAGAAAGGAAAATTGCAACAAACAAACAGAAGACAGCAGAAATAAGGATTCGTCAAAAAGTTACATGCAACTCGGAAAATGTAATCTACCTGATAAGCTGCAAAAAGTGTGGCATGCAATACATAGGAGAAACGGGAAGACATTTAAAATACCGAATAACTGAGCATATTAGAAGTATAAAAACCCAAAACAAAGATCTGGTTGTTGGCGCCCATTTCAGTCAACCGGGACATTCGCTTAAAGATTTGAGTGTCATTGGCATTGAAAAACTATTTCATGACCACATTTATCGAAAGAACAAGGAATCCCATTACATTCATCTTTTCGGGACACACGAGCCACAAGGGATGAATATTAAGGAAGTTTAGATATTTTCATTCATTGTTTTAATCAATTCTTGTACCTAATATATTTTTTTCTCAGAATTGGATCATGCATGGCCAGATATGCTAATAACAGACAAAATATCACTATATTACATTTGACACACAGACAACTTTTCTGGTCTGCATTATACAATACTGAGAAATAAAACACCATTGTGTAATTTGGACTTCAATTGCTAAATATAAAACAAAGAGAGAGATCTCATCAATGACACTTATTCCGGCCGCCCGCTGTTATTTAATCAAGAAATTCACAGATTTTATTGATTATTTAACATGCGTGACTCGTATAATTCTACAATGATTGTTTAAATATGCATGTAACTGCTTTTCGTGTTGTAGTTGAATTATGTATGTCTGAAGAAGTCTGACCTTGGTCAGACGAAACGTTACAGAAATATATTTGTGGTAGTGTGCAGCAAGACTCTTGAATCACTTAGGATTGTTATCTTTACTCTTGCTACAGCATCCTTGCATTATACGCATACGGATCCACCGGCACAAAAACATAGAAGAAGGATAAGTAGTTAGTCTCGCAGAAACCAAATAATCAGCGCAAGATAGTTTTTTATTTCTAATTGCGTTATATATTTAGATAGCATATAGCCTAAAGTTCAAAATCCACCCTTCGGCTTTATTCTAGCCCTTATAACAGCTGACTTATTGGATTCGGTACAACAACACGGCGAAAATTTCCCATAAGACACCATTGTTTCGCGTTTTCCCAATATGGCACAAGATGGCGTCCATGAACTTGTTTAACATTAGGCAAGTTGGTTGCCGGCCCTTGCCAGTGACCACTGTGAAGCTAGCAGCCTCTTCAGCCAGAATATTTTTGCACATTGAATATAGTTTCCACGCGCATATAGTATTTATTTATAGTTACATAAAAAGGCTGATAAGAATACAATTTCACCACGGAAAGTTTTTGTTGGGATTCATTTAACTTTGTTTACAATCTACATGACTATATGTTGATAATCTTATGCAAAGTAGACGTAACTCGTATTTGGCGATTTTAATGATTTTCAAAGCCCAGCAGCATGTTGTTTCGGTCAAGAGGGAGATTTTATTGTTTTAAATTGAAGATATAGTCATATAAATTAAAATCAAAGTCAAATGAATTTCAACAAAAACTAAGAATTATGTGAATTTTACGATTGAATTTTGATAATATTACTCATAATTGACTTAACTCGCATATGGAGATTATCAAAGCCCAGCAGCATGTTGCTCCGGTAAAAACTTATAATATCTTTAAAATTACAATTTTTATGATTGTATCTTTCATTTGAAATATTAAAACCATCCCTTCTCCGTTTCTTTACTATATACAGTATTAACAAGACAAATCATTGGAAACATTTAATTTTACGCGTGGATATTCTCTGCGATTCTGTCAGTCCCAATTTCGTGTTTTGCTGCTAACTTCACAGAGATCTGGAGATGGAGAGGAGCCAGCCAACGTAAGCTACAGAAATACACTCTTCTGACATTATTGTTAGTGATCCAAGCGCTGTGCAGCAAGGCTTTTGAATTGAGTAGAAAGGTTAACACGTTAGTAATTATGTACCTATTTGCAGTTATGGTGATTGGAGTATTACCTATACCGGTATGGCTTTGTCTGTCCTGACTTATTGGCACAGGATTAGTTGACGCCTGACGACACCGGTATCAAATGACGATTGTAAACTTCCGGTACCATTATTCGTAGAAGTTTGTTGTGCAGGTTAAGGTTTTTTGTTTTTACCTTTTACGGATCTGAGCACAAATAGGCTATTGTTAATTGTTTGTAACTTTGTGTGCTTATATGTATCATGCCCCCCCCCCCCCCTGTATGTCAAATTTTTTTCACATTTACTATGCACATGCCACAGTCTTACTCAAAGTGCTGAAATTATTAGATGCTGAGATGGTTTTACTGTTTTAACTTCAGATAATACAGTAATATTTTTCCTATTATCAGGTTTTGCTTATTTTTGAACATGCCCCATGATCCCAAAGCTTTTATAAAAAGTCGAAATTATCTTTGGAGAGACTTGCCGAAAGCACTGAGGAATTGCTCAAACGAATCATTGGCTTATGGAACTTGTGTTAAAGAATGGGACAATTTACGTAAGGGAGATTGTGGAAGGGAATTCACAGCCCTAAAGCAGTGCTTGAATAAATCATTGAAAAAGAAGTAACTGTTCTATAAAATTTCTACCAACTTGGAGTTTGTCTACAGGTGTATGAGACATGACAGAACAAAGTTCTTCAGATTTTTCTATGGTTAAAAGTAAATCGAACTTAGCAACACAATATTTATTAGATGCAGTTTTATCAGAAAAAAATGAAAGGCCTTCTCTCAAACTAATGATGCGAGCAATGAAAGATGCTGGATGTGCAGTCATACCAAAAGTACATATCGTTATCGAAAAATGTAATGCATTTCATGGATATGGCGGTTTTGATTCGTCTAATAATGAAATTGTGCTTTGCGAAGAGAAATTTGGTTCCATTGCTTGGTCCGAACCAAAACAATTTATGGATACGATATTGACTCATGAATTAATCCATGCTTTTGACCACTGTCGAGCAAATGTTGATTTTTATAATAATCCCAGACACAGTATGTGTAGTGAAATAAGAGCTGCAGCCCTGAGCGGACAATGTACAATTTCTAAGAAACCAGGAGCAGCTGTACTTGGTGGCGTAAAGAAATATCATCAAAGATGCGTTAAAACTCAAGCTATGAATTCTTTTAAAGCTCTTCACCCGAATTGGTCTGAAAAAGATTCCAAAAATTTGTTAGATTCTCTGTTCTCCATATGTTATTATGATACAGAACCTTTTGACAGGGTACCTTTAACAAATGAACAAGCTTTTTTGTCATACAAAGCATACATATCTAGGAATCGATATCATGTTTGAGTAATATTGCGAATATTATACTGACATTTCTCTACCATGGGAGAAGCGCTTTTAAGTAGTAAAGGTATTTAGTCTATAGGACTTTGTTGATCAAAAAACTACCACTACACTACCACAAACTAATTACCACTTCAAAGAAATAAATTCTAACTTTAGTTCTGTCCAGCATTTTCCATGCATGATCAAAAGCAAACGATAAAAATTCAGTAATGTTTTGCGGGCTATTCAGAAAAATTCAGTTCAACGACAAAGCTAGGTCAAACATGTTTAGCTCGTCTTTGTGACAAGATGAATTGTTTCCTAGACAAAGCTAAATGTTATGAACAGATATTTTTGCTCTCCTTTAAAAATGACAATATATTATGTAAATACTCAATCCTTATGTTTTGGGTATAATATCTATATTTTGCAAGTTCGATTTGCTATGTTTGCACCCCAGGTTGGGATTCACCGATTTCTAACATGAAGCTTTCAGAAAAATAAGCATTATCTAATTTAAAAGCCGCCATCAACTGCGTACTTTGTGTGCGTACTTCACACATTGCAATTTATGTTGTATTCATCCCGATGATAAAA